AGGTGGTGAAAACTGTAAACAATAGGGCCTACTTAGAGGAAGTAGGTTACAGGGGTGCTGCCCTGGAAGGGTTTATCTTCTTCCTGGCCCTTCCCCATTCTTTCCAACTATTATAAGCTGAGCAGCTTTCCTCCACCAGGACCTTCTACCATGATTTTTTTCTGTCTTACTTCAGGCCAAAAACATTGGAACCAGCTGACCATGTACTGAAACCTCTCAAACCATGAGTCCAAAATAAATGCTTCTTCTTCCAAGTTATTTTTCTGAGGTATTAGTCACAACAATGGAAAGCTGACTAACACAATTGGTTTAGTATAACTAGAATAGAAACACAGGGAGGCGTAGTTGACAACATGAATATGACCCCTTCAAACTGGAGGATGTAGGAAGTCTTATTAGAGTGTTTAGTGAGCTTTTCTGTCAATGTGATCAAAATACCTGAGAAGAATAACTTGAAGGGGCTGGGGTTGTAGCTCAGTGGTAGAGCGCTTGCCTCACATGTGGAAGGCACTGGGTTCGATCCTCAGCACCACATAAAAATAAAATAAAGGTATTGTGTCCATCTACAACTAAAATAAATTAAATTAAAGAATAACTTGAAGGATGTAAAATTAATTTTTGACTCATGGTTTCAGAGGTCTCAGTCCATATATGGCCAACTTCATTTCTCTGGGCCTAAGGTGAGGCAAAACATGATGGGGGAAGAGCGTGATGGAGGGAATCTGCTCCCCTCATGGCAGCCAGGAAGTAGAGAGAGGGATACCGGGGAAGAGGCCATGAGGGAGATCCATCCCTCCAGGGCACACCATGAGTGAACCACCTCCTCCAGCTACACCGTACCTACCTACAGCTACCACCCTGTCAGTTTATTCAAACTAGGATGGACTGATTAGGTTACAGTTCTTGTAATCCAATCTCTTCTCCTCTGAATGTTCTTACATCAACACAGGAGCTTTTGGGTGGACACCTGCATATTCAAACCATAACACAGAGTGTCAAGGTGAGAAATCTATTTTACTTCCTCTGACTGATTGATAATGCCTGTCTCTATTCTCCTTCTTAGTTCCTCATCTCTTTCAAGCAAGTCAGGTAAAGAGCTTTGTTCCTCTGGAAGGCACCATGTGTTTTTGGCTTTTTGCATCTCCCTTTTCCAAAATAAGGAACACATAATAGTGTATGGAGTCTACAGTAGAGTCAAAGTAAATGCTATCAGTTGATAATCTATTTCCTTGTACATTACTTTGTTTTTTTTTTTTTAAAAAAAAAGGCTGCCAGTTTCTTTGAGCCAAACATTGTACTGCCTTAGGTAGTTAATAATACAACTTTTATTATTCCATTCTAACAATGATACTGAAACCAATATTATTACTGATCACATTTTACAGAGAAGAAAACTGAGACACACACAAAAAAACAACTTTACTCCCATAAAACAGCTTAGGTAGTATAACTTGGATACCAGTTAAGGTCCTTGATGCTAAGGCCTATGATTTTTCAGTTCAACATGCCGCCTTGTAAGGAAAAAGGAACACACTCAGGATAAGTTTCCCCTATCTCGGTCATCCAACCACACAATACCTAGGGTGTTTCAAGGATGCTTACGCACTACCAGAATACCCAGAACATTAAAGAAATGTCTGGGGAGAAATACCATATTTTTCACTCTTGACATTCCCAAGCTTGGTTATTCCTAAGTATGGAATTACTAATGCACCATAAAAATTTATTTAATTCTATCCCTTGCTTTGTTGCTTCTTCTGGCACCTCCACTTTGCAAGAGAACAACTGTTACAATTGAAACTGTCATGTATGTTTTGGCAGTTTACCAGAAAAGAATCAAGGATGGCATGGGTTTTTACTCCTTTCAGCATTTATCAGAAAGATGCTAATATAGGGGCATGGAATTGGAAACTATAATCAGCAAATGAAGGTACTGGAGGGATGAAAGACACTTTGGAAGTTGAAAGAATTCAAAGATAGTCACCAAAGACTAAATCCTAATTGAGTCCTTCAATTTTTAGGAATTCACAGAACAACATGGTATCCAGTCCATTGAGGAGAGGGGAGCTCAAATTGTACAGGACAGATTATAACTAATGAAGGAGAAAGTAATAGAGAGAGAAATGACACTAAAAAATCAAGTAAAAGCAGAAAGAGAAGGCTGTGATATAGCCCAGTGGTAGAGCACTTGCCTAGCATGCATTAATTCCTGGGTTTGATTCCCAGCACTGCAAAAACAAAAACAAAAACCAAACAAACAAATAAAAAAAAAGAAGAAAAAAAAGAAAAAGAACAATTTTGTCATAAACTTGATTGAAGGTATCAATGCTTAAGGGTAGTTAGTACTAACTACCAGGGTTAAGACAAAGATTTCTACTCTCACTAGTATTATTTAGCATTTTCCTAGGTGTTCTCTCCAGGACAATCAGGAGAGGAAAAGAAACAAAAAGCATCCAGAGTGGAGAGGAAGAAGGTAAACTTTCTCTATTCTCAAGTAATATGAGTTTCTATTTAAACAATATTAAGGAATACACCAAAAAATATTAGAATTAATAAAAGAGTTTAGTAAGGTAAACAATTTTAATTTCTATTCACTAAAAAAAAGCAATCTGGAAATAAAATTAAGAAAATAATTCTGTTAATTAGCCTGATTTAATCACTTTATGATGTACACCTGATTTATAACATCACATGGTACTCCATAAATATATGAAATTATTATTTGTCATTAAAAATTTTAAAAAAATTAAAATCCAATAAAATGTTTAGGAATAGATTTAACCAAAGACATGGAAATGTGTTCTGAAAACTGAAAAATATCATTAAAAGGAACTAAACACTGCCTAAATAAATGGAAAGTTATCTCATGTTCATGGATTGGAAAACTTAAATCAGAAAATAGCAATACTCTTCAAACTAAGGTACAGATTGAACACTAGCAAAATATCAGCTGGATTTTATGCAGAAATTGACAAGATTAACAAAAAATCCACATGGAAATCCAAAGGACCCAAAATAGCAAAAGAATTTTGAAAAAGAAGGATCACTCACACTTTCCAATTTCAGCACTTACAAAACTATGGTAATTAAGACAGTGTGGTACTAGCATAGGGATATAGATGGACATCATTGGAATAGAACCAAGAGTGAGATAATAAACCTCTATATTTATTGGTAATTGGTTTTCAACAAGGATACCAACACTATTCAATGAGAGTAAATAATAGACTTTTTAATAAATGAAAATGTATTTCCACATAAAAATATACACAAAGATATTAGTAGCAATACTATTTATAATAGCTAAAATGTGGGAAAACCCAAGTATGTTTAAATGAAGTGTGTTATAGTTACACCACAGAATTTTTAAATTTTTTGTGTCAGGGATTGAACTTGGGTGTGCTTCACCACCGAGTCATGTCCCCAGCCCTTTTTATTTTTTATTTTGTGACAGGGTCTTACTAAGTTGCTTAAGGCCTCACTAAATTGCTGAGGCTGGGTTTGAATTTATGATCCTCCTGCTCTATGCTTCTGAGTCACTGGGATTACAGGCATGTGCCACTGTGCCCAGCTATACATAGAATATTATTCATTCATGAAAAGAAATAGAGACACATGCTACAATATGGATTAATTTTGAAAACTTTACACTAAGTGAAAAAAAAAGATATACAAAATACATTGTATGATTTCATTTAAATGAAATGTCCAGAATACATAAATCCATATTGATAGTGTTTGCCAGAGGATGGGGGCAGAGGGGAATGGGGACTGACTGCTAATTGATAAGGGGTTTTGTTTTGTGTTGATGAAAATGTTCTGGAATTGGATAGTGGTGATGGTTGCACAACCTTGGGAATATACTAAAAACCACTGATTACATACTTTAAGAGAGTGAATTTCATGGTATGTGAAATATACATCAATAAATCTATTATTTTTAATAAGTAGAATTATAAGTCCAATAACCAAGTAGGAAAAGTGGGCTAAATGTTCAGGTTCCCATAGCCCAACTAGCAGGACCAGTGGCTTGCTTCCAATTTCTTCAACCACTGCCCCAAATATTTCATCATTCCTTCTCCTGTGGCAGAATTATTTTATTTACCAGTCAGCCCTGTCTTGTGTCAAGAACACTGAACATTCCAGCGTCCAAACTTGTCACATCTTCTGTATAACAATGCCCTCATATAATGTTTGTACAGAGAACCAATCCTTCCCAAACAGAGGTGAGACAAAACTTAGAACAGTCTGATGCAATAGAAAGAAAGGGAAGTATTAGAGCATAAATTCTGTGTGAGAGGGTGGTCTTGTTGTTCCCAAATCCTTTCCTATAACTGACAATACTCAAGAAAACCTAGACATCTCTCCTCCTACTCTCTTCCATCATGATAGTTTGGGGAAATGTTTTGAAGTGTTCCAATGAGAGGCTAATCTATGACCAATTCATAATTGTAAATCTAAGCCATACTCAGATTTGGCAAACCAGAAAATGATCGAGTGTTATATCTGTCACCTATTCTAATATTTAATAGCCTTTGCCATTAGGAACCATCTGGGTTCCTTATGCTTCATGTACAATAAATTACCTCTTCTTATATCCTCAGTGGAGATTGGTAAGAGATACTGTGGATTTATATTTGGAAAATAGTGCTAGAAAGAAACATTAATAGTAACTAGGATTTATTCAGAAGATGATAGATCATTAGTCTCCAAGTATTTTAAATCCCCATTTAAATAAAGTTATCAAAACTTGTCAATGAACTCTGAGCAAAAATACATAAACAGTGTAGAAAATACTTAAATAAGTGGAATTTATAGTCAATTCTTGCAAGTTAGCAAAGCCAGATAAGTCTGGCAAAACCACCACCTTCTGTAAGCTAACAGCATGAGAGAGTCAGGTATATACCACTACCAAGAAGAGGTCCCTCCAAGAGGTAAAGCACTTTAGAAAAACAGATTTCCCATGAATCATCACTGCCATTCTGCCCAGGCCACCTTACCTAACTGAAATTGATTGGAGACATTCCCACATGTTTGCATTATCTCCGGGCTATTCCATCCTAAAGGATATAATGCACAGCCTGAGCTTATCAGGAGTCCTGGAAAGAAAAACATAAAAACAGGTACAAAAAATACAACAAGTTTTCTGTTACCCCATTATCCCCCTGAATGAGCTCAGCTCAAATTCTGCCTCCCCATTCAGAGCTTCCCCTTCTCCTTTTACTCTAAATTCCTCTGATACTGCCAACTCAAAAGGATTTATTTGCCATATCATAGATGGTAGAGTGCAGTAGACGTTTCAGGAGATATCTTCTAAAGGAAGGGTAGTATTGGAAATTGAGACAGGTCAATACATATTTTGCAGTCAATACTATTGATAAATAACTTATAAGTCTTCTCCAACCTGTTCTAAGTTGGTCTGGTTTAAAGAAAATAACAATGTAAAGATCACTATACTATTTCCTAAAATCAAACCTTTTTTAAGTGTCATTTATGACCCTACTAGCTATAAGTGGGTCATAATTTTTGTCACACAGAATTAGCAGTCAAAACTGAGATCTATGAAGAGCGTACACACTGAAAAGATTTTTGTCTGTTGATCGGGGCACAACACTCCCTCTTCCTCAAAAAATAATATCAGCTTCAAGCCAAGCATCCCTCCATTCTTTGGCTTCTAGTATCTTCCATCATGTCCCTTGCCTTTACTCCCCTTTGATTTAGGCCATTTAAAAACTACAGAGAAACTCTGTGGTATCTTAGTGGAAATCTTGTTCTTTTAACCAGAGACACAAATCTGGGTCTGCTTGGCAACACTGTCTTCTAAGGGCAACTGCCTTACTCATAGCTCTTTTTTACTGCCAACATTTTCATATTTTAGAATCTATCACGCTATTCTGCCTTTAGCCACAGAAAATTGGGTCAAGAATGTGCACCTGATGAAAAAATGCAACCAAATTCATTGGGTGGTCAGTAATGGGTGACACTATAGTCTGGCATGAAGAGAGGAGCTGGACTACATTCTTATTTCTGAAAATTTTAACTGAGAAACATAGGGATGGTGAGCTAATAAACAGATAGTGGCAAAAGAAACACCAAGAGGTAGAATCATGTAATCTAAAGCCAGATTCAATCCAAAGTTATGGGTGAAAATCAGTTCTGGGTCAGCTGAGCAAATTGATGGGTAGAGGGGGAGACTAAAATAGAAAAGTGACATGAACTAAACACACCATGGGAAAATTTTCTTATTGTCCGTGAAAAGAGAAAAGAAAAGCCCTTATTGATGGGTTTCCAATGTTTATTTCCTTGTTATAATAAACTCCCTTTTCATTGAGGCAAATCAAGGAGTCTCTACTATTTGCAACCAAGAGGGTCTAATTGTAAGATCAATATACTGGGTGCCATACCAAAACACACAACAGGGATACCTGCCATTAATGTGGATGCAGAATTGCCACAGTTCAGGCACTTGGTGGATGATGCCTGAATAGCATTCTTATAGGTTCCACAGCTCTGGTGATCAGTGGCAGAGTGAAAGGCAGGCTGTTCCATGGATTGTTGGCTTCACTTTGCACCTCTTTCTGAACTGAGGTAGATTCCATCTACATGCTAAGAAGCTCAGAAGGCCTCTTTGCCTCAGGATGTGTTCTTTAGGAAGAAGATCTCAAAGTGCTCTCCAAGTTAGTGTGCCACATGGCAAGCAGTTTTTCTCACTACTTAGTGAAGCCATGGGAGAAGAGGAGGACCTTAAAATATAAATGAGGAGGGCTTAAATAGGGAAATGGAGAGAACTAAATGATAGTGAGGAAGGTTTTAGAACTGCAAAGAATGACCAATGAAGGTTTAAAATTCCCTTCAGTGGAAAGCTTAAAATTAGTAAGCTTTCTTGCCTGTCTCATAGCTTTACAGGAAATGAAACTGGTGGCTCAAAGATTTTTCTAGGCTTTGGAATTTGTCCAGCAGCAGTAAAACAATACCCCCGTTTTTCACCACATATAAACTAAAATTCTATGCTATGAGGAGGCAGCCCAGAGTATGCACAATGGGTTAAGACAAAACTGCAAAAGAAAACTAAGCCTTTTCCTGCACCGTGTCTACCCTTTGTGGGAAGAGTAAATAAAGACTGAGCTTTCCCACAGAGACTAGGAGAAAAGAACACAAGTTTTATAAAAGAACATCAGCTCTACTTTCCAACCTCCACTTTCAGATCAACAGGACTGGCAAGAACTCTGACTTCTCAAGCAGGAACTACTGTTGGCCAAGTGCCTTTCTTGGCACAGCAGGGGGGAACCTTCCTCCCTCTTTAGTTCTTTTGCTCCTCAGGCATCACCATGCAGAGATCAGGTCAGAAATTAACCCCTCCCTGAAACATTCCCTCATCATCCCCAATGCCCTAGGTGATATATTCTCCTCATCATGATTCCCATAACACCCTATGCTTAGTCTACTGACTAAAATACCCTGTAATGTATATTCTTCATAGTGGCTTGTAATCTGTTTTCCTCATTAGAGTGTGTATCCCTTGAAGGCAAGAGCCATATTTATCTTCGATTCTATATCCTTGGCACCTGGTACATATTATGTGCTCAATGAATATATTTGTTTCAGAATATTCAGCTTCCTGGGGCTCAGGCTGTGGCTCAGTGGTAGCGCACTTGCCTGGCATGTGTGAGGCACTGGGTTCGATTCTCAACACCACATATAAATAAATAAAATAAAGGTCTATCGACAACTAAAAACTATTTAAAAAAAAAAGAATATTCAGCTTCCTTAACCTACATTCCCCAAGGGGCAAGCCATCTGAAGAGACTTCCATAGTGTTTAAAAGATCATCCTAGATATCTGATATAGTCATAAAAGCTTAGAGAGGAAAGAAACTTTGTAATGACCTACTCTACTCCTTCCCTATTACAGATCTACAGAGGTAGATGCTGAGGCCCTGAGAGGGAATGTGATTTACCCTAGATCATATAGTCAGTTACTGGCAACACTTTTTCTCACTGATCAGAGAGATTATCAGCCTTTAAAGGCTCCATTTTTTATAGATGGTTGTCCAGTAATGACTACCTTTGGGCAAGATTATCTCTTAACACAAGGCATTGTGCAGGTATTAGATCCAAAAAGACAGCAAAACATGATGGTTTAAGAGAATAGGTTCCGGAGTCAGCCTAGAACTAAGTTTAAATTCCTGCTCTGCCACCTAAGGGCTGTGTGATTTCAGATAAGTTACTTGATCTCTCTCTACCTTAGTTACCTCATTTTTAATGGAAACAATATTAGTACTGTATCTTACACAGCTGTTCCAACAATCAATGAGATTAGTGCACATAAAGTGACTGCTATATGGAAAATACTCAACAAAGATTTATTATTATTCAACAGCTGCCTCTCCCTGAGGCTCCTTTCCCAGTTTCTGCCTATATTCCCTGTGCTAATTTGTTCTTCACTTCTCTGTCTTCATAACAGATTTTAAAAAGCCAAAAGCTGAGCAGGGCTCAGTTCAAAAGATGTCTCATTGAAGTAATTTTCCTGCAATTTTGCGGAGCTACCTGGCCAAAGACCAGAACTCTCTGTCAGGCATCCTGCCCCAGTGTGTATAGCTCCCCACTCTGCCCAATCTGCCCTCACACCACCCCCATGCCCTCATCCTGCCTTTTAGACAAGTGAGCACATTGGATTGTAAACATACTTCATGGGGATATTTGACTTGTAACTGACAGCTGAATCCATTACATTTGATCATAGCTGGAAAATGATGCCTTGGGGGACACATTAAAAATAAAAATGAACTCACAGGATAATTCATCCTCAATTATGTTTGTCCCCAACAGTTCTTCTCATCAATTTGGGGTTGTGAAAATGTGCTGCTACTATCAACAGGGAAGTCATTTGCCAGTACCAGGTTCTGCCACCTTCTGGAACAGTAGGGACAAACTTGGACTTCAAATGCAGGTATTTAATTTAGTAACTATGGCCTAGTAATATGCATTTTAAAAGTACTCTTCAGGGAGGCTGGGGTTGTGGCTCAGCGGTAGAGTGCTTGCCTAGAACGTGCAGGGCCCTGGGTTCGATCCTCAGCACCACATATAAAGAAAATATTACAACAGAAAAATAAATATTTTTTTTAAAAAGTACTCTATGATACTGATGCATCTAGTCCTGGTAACAACACTTGAGAAAAGCAGCAGTAAAAATGTTAAGAATGGGAATTCTGGTGGCAGAGAACACCAGTTTAAATCCAGTTCTGCCACATATGAGCTGCAGTTTTGGCTCACTCTTCTCTTACATGTCATTACTCATGCCCAATTTTATTGCCCCTCCAACCGTAACACTTCGAGAAGTCTGTCCCAAGTGCATATTCTCAGCTAGGCATTTTTCTATTCTTATCTGCTTCTCAGAAAGGTTAAAAAAAGCTCTATAGAGTGTGCTACAAACTTCTTTTCCTACTGTACAGGCGCAGATATCTAATGGGCTGCCATCTTGTTTCCATTTCTAACTTGCTCTCCTCTGTAAGAATCACCTATCACAAAATGTACCAGATGTCCTTCTCAAATATAGTGGCTATAGTTTGAACTCTCTGCCCTGACCAAACAGAGACTTGAGTTGGACACTTACTTAGCTTCACCCTTGCAACAACTTCAATACTAATATATACCCTCAAGTATAAAATCTCAGACAGAACTGAGAGGCCTCTCTCCAGATATCCCAGCTGCCCTCAACCTTCCCTCTGCTCCCAGAATGATTATTTTCTCATATCCTAATAGTTGTATAACCCTGTCCCAAGTGCACATTCTCAATCAGATCCATATCTCCAGACAGTACTAGCTTCCTTGCTGGGTATTACCAGCCCCCTTTGTCCTGCTCCCCATTCACAAGTACAACTGTTGAGTGAACAGCTATTTTGTTACACTCTCCTTCTATCTCCACATTCCCTATTCTGCATGGCTGCCAATTCTCCTTTCCAAACATTTTCATTAGGTAGTTTGAATTTACTACTCTGAACAGAAGCCTAGTGTGGATTAATTTCTTATTAATTTTCTCAGTTTATAGCACTTATAGCAACTTCAATATAAATAAATATAACTCTGGAAAATTTACAACC